TTTATTGAGATGCACCTGTATGTTCATATTAAACTTAAAGATTGGGATGGGCGCATTAACAGTTCCGTTTAATGTTTCTCGTTTGTTCATATTCCTTAATGCACAGGTGCATCTCTATCATCATCATCCTCGGTATCTGATGACACTATCATTCTGAACTTCACGATGTGTGACCCTCCTGAAGAAGCAGCCGCTGCCGAAGGAAGTCAGCCTAAAAGGCCATGCCATATAAACTATGAGGCAAAAACGGTGGGTAGTGGACATTAAGTCTAATCTGGATGCGGTTCTATTTGATGTGGAGTGGTTTTATGTAATCATTTTCTTGTCTTATTTATTGTTTCAAATTTTCTGATTTCATATTTTATTTCAATTTAAGTTAATTGGAAATATCTTAACAACAAAGCCCAGCGGTGAACACATCATGCAAGAGTATGCAAAAACCAAATCTCTGACAGATGCAACTAGAAGAAAGATGATAAACATACTTGCTGCTGAGATGACAGAAACACATGGGTAAAAATTATACATGTAGAGTATAAGAAAAAAAGAAATATTGTTAGTATTGGATTATTTTTAATTGAGGTCCAATGCCAATTAAGTGACGTCATCTTTGAATTTATGCAATAGGACACCATAAGAGTGATGTATGCACAGGGGATAGTTGCGCTGTTTCCATATCTGGAAGACCCATATTCACAACATGGATATGTAAGTAAAAAAGGTCCTTGTGACATTAAACACATAATTGCCATCAGAAATGTTGATGGCATAGTCAATCTGCATGTATTTAATTACATAGGAGCATTACTTCGATCCAGAAAGCAGTTCGGGATACCTTGCATGGCGGTTGAAGACCATTCAAAGAAAAACTGCACAGGAAAGAAGTGTCTCAGTTAGCAAATCTGCCAAAGGTAAGTTTACTTATCAGTTATTTATGATATTGATGGAATTTGTAGGCAGGAGTCAATAAAATTGTGTTTTTTCTTAAGTTGGTGGGCCAGGCCATGGTCGTTCCAGACCCTTCACCGCTGACACGGTGTTATCAAATGAGGATGTGGAAGCAGCTATTTCCATTTTGAGACACTCTGCTGATGAAGACACTATCCGTGAGATAGTGATGAAAGCTACCTTCATGTATCGTCATTCAATGGTCAAAGATGAAAAGAAAGCAGCAGATATCTTCTCGCAGTTTCTGGACACACCAGGACTGGTAAGACAACTTCATTAAATCACTGAAATATTCCATGCAGCATGCAGTGTCACTCATCACTCCTTTTTGTATTACAGATAGAACAAGATTTCAGACACCTTTTTGGTGAGGTCGCTGCCAACAAATTCTTGGAGAAGTGGAATCGTCACACTGACGACTCGCATGTTGACATTTCACACGTGTTTTACACCGGATGCCCTTCCTGACACAACCTAGACTCAAACCTGGGCCGCAGCGGCGAGAGCGCTTCGCCTTAACCGCTACCCTACCAGGGACGGTATATACAGACATTATATACCTGTGGAAAAACTGATTATATCTTTTTTTTTTATGCAGTAAAATTAGAAAGCCAGCTGTCTGGTTTTACATGGGTTACATGGGTCTGAATATATTGTTACTTAGAATTCAGCTTTTTTTTTTTTTTATCCATGATCACTCAACCAGTTGCAGGCTAATTAACTCAAGAGGTTTCACCTGTGTGTAATGTTTAAAGAAGCAGTTATACTGTGAGACTAATGAAGGCTGGGTGGCTGAAAGTGTTCTGTCTTCTTGTAGAACAAGGTGACTTCTTGCCATTGAGTAGGGTCCTACTTTATAGTTATTGGGATCATGGGATTACTACTGGGATAATGCACCAATTTTTCCTAATCCACAATTGGTCTATGGAACAAGGTTATGTGCTGGCATTATTTCATTGCTTAGTTGTGTGAATGCTGAATCGGTATTACATAGTCTAGCTGCTGTTAAAAAAAACTTTGGCCTAAAAGACCAAAAAGATTAACAATCTGTTTTATTCTTACACAACTGACTGAAAGCAGTGACACCACAAATGGTATAATGTGACATCACCAGTCGTTTCAGTAAAAAAAAAAAAAACTGAAACAGTCTGTAAGGGTTCAACTCTGTATACAGTTTCATATTCACAATTTATAATTTTACACACATTATTTTATTATTTATATACATCTGCTTCATTTAGCAAGGCATAATCAGCATGGCAGAAGTTATATTAAAAGCACAATGACTTGCTGCTCCACCATCATCAAAAATCAACTTTTTCGCAATTTCTGCTGTGTAAAAAACAATAGAATACTTGCAGTGTTTTACATGAGATTAATATAATCGTGTTCACTTTTGCAGCTCTTTAGAAAAAATACTGGTACACTGAATATCAAGCAAAGCTGCAATAAAGGCAAATGGCAAATATAGCACACAGCACAACATGTAAGCACAAGCAATTCTACACATTACAACAGATGTACAATCCTGCTTGTCTCACGTGTAAAATACTTCAGAGGAGATATGATTCCATTTAAACCTGCTGTTAATGTAATGGCTGTTAAGCTGTAGTTAATCATACACTGGCCATACCACATTCTGTGCACTGTGCAAACAGGCTGATGCATCTTCTTTGCTGGTTTATAGGATCCACAGTTCAGCACAAGGACACAGTGTGATAAACACAGCTGGGTTTCTTCAGAACACTATCAAATTCAGCAGAGGGAGCATTCAGTGCTCTACTGTATGTCTGCTTAAGTCCAGCAAAAGAAAACAGAGATGAAATAGAAGGAAAGGAAGGGACCAGATGAAGACAGAGGCGGCAGTAGTGATAAAAGATTAGGCAGGATAAGAGGAGAGAGCACAGTTGTACATCAGTACGGTCAATCTTCTTCAAGTGGCCAAAGATCGATCAGTGAACAGTGGTGTTGAGATGTACAGCATGACAGGGTCGATCCCGGATGAATCCATACGGAACCGGAATGAAAAGCATAGCTTGAGCTGTAAGTGGCTTTGAGTAACATATCCTGTCCAGTAATCCCTTTATCTGGTGAGACAGCCACAGAGCCACTGAGCTTCCAGTGACTCAAATCAAAAATTTGATCTTAAACAGTGGAGTAACCTTCAGAAATCAACTCATTGTCCTCTTACACATGCAAGCAATTAAAAAAAAGAGGAGGAAAAGTGACAGATTGACATGAAGTCATATGAAATAAGTAAACAATACAGTGCAGTTTTCTGTTTTCAGAGAATTTGTGTTGAGATGAGGATGAAGGTTGGAACAGGAGACTTAGATCAGTGTGGCAGCTCTACAGAGCAGACAGAACAGCACAATGTCATAGTAGTGGCCTATGAAAATGACTTTTATATATACCTATCACTAGAATACACCACAAACTACATCTTCAAAAATGATTATACAACTGAACCAACACCCCTCTAAAAGACTTTCAACAAAAACTTAACATAGTCAACTTCATGAAGGGAAGGTTTATTGTAAGACTACATTAGTTTCAGCTAGGTGTAACAAATGAACTGCCATAATAATAATGATCATAATTGATCATAAAAACTACATCAAAATTTTGTAAAGCTGTAATAACATTAATGCACAATTTAGTGCAACATGGTATTGTTAGCCAAGGTGTTGTGATGATGCTTTGCTTTCTGTTGAACCATATTCGCCTCCATTTCAGTAAGTGTATAAGCCTCGCACAGCCCTACAGTTAGTTTTAGTTAGGCTTTGACAGCTTTGACAGGTGGCCTAACTTGATGCAGCGCTGCAGCTAGGCCTGCAGCACATCATCAGCCATGGGCCTCAGCCACAACCTGGCTTGTTTGTGTGGTTTTTATGTGTGTGGGTGGGTGTGGTCAGAGCCCCGTGGTGACCTGCGTAACCTCTGAGATGAGATCGTCGTTGGCAACACCGCCACAACAGCGAGAGTCCACAGACGACCTCTCCAAGGCTAGTCATACCTGCAGAGAGAGAAATTACAAGAAGTGAATATACTGTATGTTGTATGTTTATGTAAATTCATTTCTGCCCATAGCCATAAACCTAAAATGAATAAATTAAAAAATTATTTGCGGTTTTAGGGGAGGTTTTGTGCCATGCAGTGACTTCTAAACTGCAGTGTACTGGTATGTATGCACAGACTACCTGTTGATTGGACCTTTCTCTGGTGTTTGCAGTGTTGCGTTCACGCTGTTGGAGCTTGCGGCTAGTTGCTATGGCCTGGGACGAGTTCTGCATCTCCAGCACAGACGGACTCGGGGTACAGAACTCACGGAAACAACGTTTGAAGTTCTCGTCCAGGTAACCATAAAGAACTGGGTTCAGACTACTGCAGTGGGGCAAAACAAGGACACAGTTTAACTACAGAAATTTTGCTTCCCCCTAAATTCATCAACATTTTCATTTTTATATACTGTACAGTAGAATGTGGGGTGTGAAAACTAAAAGCCAATTTAAGTCATTGTATAACAATGTGCCCCAACAAATGTCATTATCAAAAAGTGTCTGTAAAACACATTGATTTTCATATAAGCATACTTAACAAAGCTTTTCTCCTCAGATAGCACCACTCAAGACTGTTTCATTGCATTAAAAATTAAATCTTGGAGATAAATACTTTGTGTGCAAAGGCTACCGCTGGGTGCGTACCTGTTGGCGTAGCCCAGGGCGATGCAGAAATGCCAGGTAATAGTCTGCAGCGTAGAGCTACGAATGTTGATCAGAGCTGTGATGATGACAAAAATGTGGATGGGTGTCCAGCAGATGATGAAGACGGCAACCACCACCAAGACCATGCGGGTGATCCGACGCAGGTTCCTGTCCTTCTCCTGTGGTGTATATTTGGGAGTGAAGGAAGCAAGTGGGTTAACGTTGGGGATAAGTGAGAGTACAAGATGAGTGAGTGTTGGAGAAGAAAGGAAGAAGTACAAAGAGAAAAGGAGGTGGTTAATACAATGATGCAGGAGAGAGAGCGGAGGATAAAAGATACTGTAGAAGGAAAGGTGGAGGTGGAGAAGGTGGACGGGGTAAAGAAAAGGACATGGGAATTAGGAAATATAAAAGAGGATTAGAGAAAATGGTTTGAGGGAGGTGAGAGGAAAGGCAAAGGGGACAAAATCAAGAGGCAGAGAGAAGAGAGAAAGGACAATGGAAGGGAAGAGGAGCTGAGCAAAGTGCAGTGGTGATTGAAGAGCTGAGGAGGTACTCATAAATCATGACTACAACCTCTTAGACAATCCATTTGTATCTGCTATAAATGCATCCTCATTAGAAGGTGCACATGTTTTGTAGATGAGGGCAAGTAATTAAAAAAATGAAAAATTAGTTGTTGGGTCATTTCACTTTCTGCTGCAATTAATTAAAATGGAGCCACAACTTCAGGTTTGCCTTTCCCTAATTACATTTTCATGAGAGCAGTGAGTGGCCTGGACTTGCGAGCCTGCTCTTGGCAGCCGTCTACTGTGCTTCATTATCCTGAAAGATAAAATCAATTAGTTGTTCAGTCAACAGCGTAGGCCAATGTAGGTTGTAGGCCAAAGCTTTTTAAAATTTCACTAAATACTCTCTAATGCTTGCATCCTAAAATTCCAGTTAAAGGGTTTTGCAGCTATTGAAAATAACTCATTGTATGCATCAATTCTGGCAAATGTTTGTGAAAGAAAAGTTGATTTTTCTTCACCTGGGAGCCTGACAACATGCGCACACTCTTGAGTCGCAGGATCATGAGGCCATAGCAGACAGTGATGATGAGAACGGGCATGATGAAGGCAAAGATGAACACACAGATCTTCAGCAGGGTGTCCCAGTACCATGAAGGGTGAGGGAAAACCAGTGTGCAGTCAACAATGCTGGAGGCTGTGCAGGGTGGGAGAGCCAGATGTACGTTATCAGGTGGACAGAAACACAAACGTCACATGCAAACAGTAGGGGTTTTTTTTCTCTCTCTCTTATCAGTTTTTAAACATCTGCGCTTCCTTCCTCTGAAATGTGTTTAATCTGGTTGTAACCACATGCAGTGCTGCGCAAGTGTAATCACAGAATTTAGGGCTGCAATTATGGTTATTTTAATTAATAATTTAACTTTTTTCCCCTTGATTAAATGATTAATCGTTTAGAAAAAAAAAAACTCAATTAAAAATCAAGAAAGAACGAAAATCCTATCAATTTCAAATGTGTGTGAATATGTTACTATAAGATGTTGGTGTGTATGTGTATGCATCTGAATTTCCTTTTACTGTAATCATTTGACTAGAAATGAAATTATTCATTCATTTATCACTCTTTTATAATCAAGCAACACAAGGGCGGTGTATATGGTGCATTTCTTATGCTGTGTTACCATAAATGTTAAAGTAAACTCTTCACTGCAAGTTTTGTGGAGCTAAGGAAACGACATCTTTAAGCACCATGCCTCCCTCAGAGTTACAGCTTTCATGGTGTCAGTAAATCTGATTATTCTCTCTTCTCCAACAGTGCGGCACCACCCTTTGGCAATTTGAGTCGCCGTTTTCTCTTCATTACCAGTTCAATTACACAGAGACCCTGTCTTACTATGCAGACAGTTAAAGCCATCAGTCGGGCACATAGCAGGAAATGGTTCTTCTGGGCAATTACACAGAAAAGCTTTAACATCTCTTCTAGGCTGCCTCCCTTTATAGAGCCTGCTGGAATACGTAACTGCTCTTTAAGGCTGGGATGCAGAGAATGAACGCGATTGTTTTCTTCCTGTTCTGTGCTTGAATTTGTTTCTGGGCTGTTACTGAACTCATCATCTACCTACCGACAGAAGTCAATGCTTTTTACAGCCCTTGATGCTCAGCTGGATGCAACTTTTTGAGATAATCAGTTCATCTGTTCAGCTCTTTTAAAACTGTTGTGTGAATTATATGCATTTATACAGCTGTACTCAGGAGTGTGGGAATAATGGTGAACATACTGTACACGTTCATGCTTACAAGTGGGAGTGGTGGAGGCCATGAACATGACAGGCAACCCGATGACTGAGGAGAGAATCCAGTTGCACACATTGACAATCTTTGCATTGCGCGGTGTCCTGAAGTCCAGTGCTTTGACTGGGTGGCACACAGCAATATATCGGTCGATGCTCATGGTGGTGAGTGTGAAGATAGAGGTGAACATGTTGTAGTAGTCGATGGAGATCACTGTCTTGCACAACATGGCCCCAAACGGCCAGGTTCCCATCAGGTAGTTGACACTCTGGAACGGCAGCGTGCTGGTGACCAAGGCATCAGCCAGTGCCAGGTTGAAGATGTAGATATTTGTGGCAGTCTTCATTTTAGTGTATCTGCACAGAAGGAATTGGTTTACTGTATTATAAGACAACAGTATTCTGGGCACAGACAAGTAATAAGGTCCTGCACTACAGAGGAAGATACTGCAGCAGATTGAGCAAGACTGACAGAGACACAAAACTGCTATAGTTTGATTGTTGTGCCTCTATTGTCTTTTTGTGTCTTTGTAGTAATTTAGTGCATCGTTGTAGTCATTCTGAATCTGTGTGTTTGTTTAATGCCTCTTTCAGCCATTTTCTCCTCTCTTTAGCCATTTTGAGTCTCTTTGTAGTTGTTTTGCAGGAGCATAGAACATCCCTACTTTTAACTGAGGTCTATGACTTTTCTACATGGATTCCATTCATTCAGTGAGTTTTATAAGTTTTATCTAATCTTCTAGGTTTTTCATTTATGTTCAGTTGAGAAGTGTGTGCCTCTCCTCTGATTCCAAACATTTGAATATACACACCACTTCCTGCAAAAGGTTTTCTTTAAGGAAATAGAATTTTCAGACCACCTGCTTTGCTCCCTCACCATATAATAGGTTTTTGATATCAGTGCTGTCTCTGGATTTTTCAGATAAACTGAAAGATTAAGTATTCATTTATAAGTTCTCCTACTTTTCTTTAGATAAATAAATGAAAATGAAGCTGAAAATTGGGTTATTCACATGCACTTATAATCAAACAGTTGCTATTAAGCTGCATATATGTTAAAACAACATTTTATTTTTACTCTTATAATGAGTATGGTAATGTAACGCCCACACTCCAAAACATGCCTGGTGTGCTGGAAATATCGATCAATAAATCATCATATTTTTAAATACAAGTAGGATAGGATGGTGCAAAAGTCTCCCATTGTGACCGTACTTGTCACAATGGGAAAATTGTCAAGAAAAATAAAGATGTATCCTTTAATGACAAACACAAAGGCAACAGCAGTATTTGGACAGAAGAAGAGCACTAAGAAATTATTTAACACCATATGCGGAATTTAAATGCACAGTTGACAGCCTTCCCTTGTAAGATAACAGATATGGCAGCTATGCAGAGTGTCCTGGGATATTCTGTAAATTCAGGTCTCTAGCATTAGCTGCTGGGCCACTTTGTAATAGCAAACATATTTTTTCTAAATGCAGAGTTTAAGGAGCTACCCAAAGGTCAAAACCTGCAGCCTCCTTAAAAGACATCATAAAGAAATGACATTTCTCAAGTTGTTTACAGAACATTCTTTTGCAAATTTCTACACATTTATTTGCAGAAGTCCTTGAAATGTGAATCCTTTCATAAATCATTTAAATAGTTTCTTGCAACTCTCTTTCAGCTTGTGTGTTTTTTTGTTTGTTTTGTTTTTTGTATAATTCATATCCAGGCTTTGCTACAGCCTCCTAAACTGACTGTACAGAAAAAAATGTCCTTTCAATCAATATGCGCTATAACTGATTGAAGAAGAGAGGGAGTTCAAAGAGTGGGGAGGATTGTGGAGTGTTTACAGACTGCAGAAGAAAGAGCAAAATATCCATCACCATGGAGAAGATGGAACATAGATGACTGACTCTTTAGAGCTTGTCAGAAAAGTCAGATCATATCAGAAAGTTCCAAAATGGTTTCTCTTGTACATCATAATACATACACCCAAAATGCAGCTGAAATGGTTAAAAACAGCTACCATAATCCATTTATTCTTCATGAATAACACACATTTCTGGTGACATCAGCTGTTTACTGGAAAAATGAAATGAAAATACAGTGTGACGAGTCAGAATGAAGTACAGCATTTTGATCAAGCTGCTTTTGTTATGGTGTTAAATGTGAAAAAGATTTCTATGGCTCGGTCCCCAGGAGAGGTCAATATGCCAGCTATTATAACAAGTTTGCAGAGTGCCATTACACAGTAAAGAGCTAATCATCCCCAGTAATAAGATTATAATGAAGCTATCCTGGATATAGAAGATTTGCCTCTGAAAGCCAGTTTAGTTCTATTTTTTATTCATTAATTCTGCACTTAGCATGTTCAAGATTTTATCTTATCATTTTCCGTTTAGGTGTTAGTTCCTCTCCTATCTGTCCCTCAAAGCAGCTGGTTAGTTTAGCTTAGCATAAAGACTGGAAACAGGGGAAAGACTTAGCCTGGCTCTGTTCAAATCATCCACCTACCACCCGAGTCTGTACAAAAATTGAAGTGTCAAACTGACAACAAGGAGTTCCATGTCAGAAGCCAAGAAACAGTCCGACACCCCCATAAAACAGCAAATGTCAGTACAGGTTAAACAAATGTGTTCTAATGTGTTATTACTGGGCTTTAGAGGTGCTGTTGGCTGTAGCCTGACAGACACCTATGAGAGCAGCATCAATCTTCTCATGAAACTCAGCCAGAAAGCAAATAATCATATTTGCAAAAATGTCAAACTATTTACGTAATTTAATTTCCAAAGCCCACCAGAGACTGTATTGTTGTAGTACTATTCAGTCCAAAGACTCCTTAGACACATCCCAGCCATAATATTATTAAACTAATCTGGATAGACAAAGTGACAAAGATGCATCACACCCACTGGCCTTCACATTATTAAACCACAACTGTCACTCTCCTGTTGACGTAATTCACTTTTGTTTTGTTCTATCACTCTCCTCAGTGATCCGAAATCCTCTTAACAGCCAGAGATAACAGTTCATTAAATTCTGATTAACTTGAATGCTGACAGCTTAATACAATTGTTAGTTCAGCCTTTATTTGCACAGGGACCGATGAGAGACCTGACGATGTAGTAAATGCTGTCACCCTGCACTGAGGAGTGCGCTGGAGCTGGAGCTAATTTCCAACATTCCCTTATTGACTTGGAGACGGTTGTGAACATAGCTGTAGATGATAGCTCGAGTTTCCTGTGTGTTGTGTGTCTGAGGCTTCCTTATGTACAGCGCAGTGGGTGATTGAGAGTAATTACCTGAATGAGATATCATGTTAATGAGTTTTCAGGTTAAATGTATTTCTCACTGCTGGAGAATTTGTCACACTCATCAACCATTTATTGTCAAGGTTTTTTAATTATATTATATTGGAAAATTTCTTTGCAGCCTTTATCATTTGGGCTCCAAAACCTAATTCCTTTTTAATCATGCAGTAAAAATAATTATACACAAGGATTAACATCTTAAAGGGAACATTTCTGGCACTGTATATATTACACACATCTTTGTTGGCTTATTATATTAATATAAATTATTTGTCCAGCAATATTTATAGGGACAAAATACTTTACTTGGAGTTGAGAGGTCAGACTAGGATATATTTTGCTCATGCCATGTATCCAAACCCAAACAAAGGGACCATAATCCCAGTGAGTCATTGTAGCTAACACAGAAATGTTTGTAAAAGTGGTCTGAAATGCAAAAAACCTGAGTAATTATTCTGTCATCATTTAAGCTAAAGAAAACCAACACTATCCAACATGGTACCATTCCTTGACATTTCTTCTTCTAGACCTCAGCGGCTCCACGGCCCTGTCTCATTACTCTATTCAACCTAAATAAACAAACAAACAGGGCCAAAATGGGTGGGTTTTGTCTCTACTCTTTCATTTATTGTAAATTGACCTTGGAAATGAAAACACTTCTCTACTAATTACTTTTGACAAATCCATTTTGAGGGAAACATACAGTAATTGGCTCATTGCTTCAGTTATGTACATTTTGAGCAAATAAGTGCTACTTTTTTTTTTTACAAATTGTAAGGCATTTGTCATTTCAGTGACATTATGCTTTTGCTGTTGCAGTAATACAATATAATTATTGTAATCTATAGCACACAAGTTTCCTGGAAATTCATCAAACTTGAGCTGTTTGTAGCTTGAATGACTATTGTGTTATATTAATTGACAGTATAGAGTTACAAAATGGATATTTACTGAGCAAACTAAAGAGATTAATTCTTTATAAAGAGGAAAATCTATTTACCTGCCAGCAGTAATCACTTCTCCTAAGGATGGTCTCTCAGTTTGAAAAAATGACAAGAACAAGGAACTCTGTTAATCCCACTGTCTCTGTGAAAACCCACTGTCTGGTCACACGCTATGTGAGTAAAGGGACAACAAATAAAAGGCTTTACAGCAATTATTCAGCCTCTTATTGACAAGAGGAGACAGTGACAATGAAACCACCGAGAAATCAAACAGTAGTAACCATATAAAAAGAGTCATTCTTCATTACCCTGCTCCTGTGAATAAACAATACTCAGCTAGAGAAATTGCCCATCTGCCTATAAACTACGTGGACATGGTGTTTTGCTGGACCCCCGAAGCACAGAGGTGGCAGATAGATGTGTGTAATGGACCTTAAAATCCTCCAAAAACAGTTCTTTCAGTAAAAACATGTATAATTCATAGGCTTCCATCAACCCATTACCTGTGGCTCCCACCTGAGGAGGTGAGACACCCTCTCATTTCTCCTGCCTCTCATCAGTCTTTATGTATCCTTAAATGAGGAAAAACACTTTTGGCAACCAATGACCATGAATTATTCCTGAGATGATCCTGACAAGAAGCAGATTTTACAAAGTTATCACAAGCTCCCAGCAGAAAGAGGGGGAGCCTCCACCTAATCGCACAGGCTGTTCTCGAGGCTGCATTATCCAAGCATCCAAATCATTTGACACATATGCAGATACACAACTGCGTCAGTAAAACAAAGTTAATTCCCTCATCTGAATGCATTTACACAAACACAGAAGGCATTTGAGGATCTGTTTATTTAATATGCACAAACTCGACAATTTAATATAACCATTTTGGCAAAATTAGATAAAACACTTTACCCCTACTCTCACTGGAGACCCCCAATAATCTTCTGTGTACACTGTGTGACAAATTACTGAAAAGAAATGTACAACAGCACCTAGCCTGGCTCCTTAACAAGCCTCATTTGCTGGTGAACCTGTGATGTAAAAACACCAAA